GGTCAGGGCAAAACGGTTTAAAAAGAGTTTGTAATTCTAAGAAAAAACCAAGAAAACTCCCAGAGGCTGGAGGTCAAAGTTGGTGAGTTTATGCCCCCGACCCAAGGACGGATATCCAACTCCACCCACATCCAAGTCGGCCATTTTGATTAGGTCACCAATAGGAAGATCCCAGGCAAGAGAATCGTAATTGCTTCATGGCAATATAGACATTAATTTTAAAATAGTGAAATTGATCTTGCAAACATTGAATTAAACTCTATCCATGATATTATGTTAAAATAGTGGATGTTAAATAGGTTTGTACAATAAGTCCAAACAAGTTTAACCAAAAGATATTTATTTCTCACAATTATGAAGGGTTAGGGTTAGGGTCAGGGTTAGGATTAGGGTCAGGGTTAGGGTTTTGTGTTAGGTTTAGGGTTAGGGTTAAGGTTAGGATTAGGGTCAGGGTAAGGGTAAGGATCAGGGTTAGGGTTAGGGTTAGGGTTAGGGTCAGGGTCAGGGTTAGGATTAGGGCCAGGGTCAGGTTTAGGGTCAGGGTTAGGATTAGGGCTAGGGTTAGGGTCAGGGTTAGGGTAAGCGTTAGGGTAAGGGTCAGGGTTAGGATCAGGGTTTGTCTTCCGATTTCGTATAGACAGTAAATTTTCCTTTCCTCCTCAGAAAGCTGCTAAGTCACATGACCTAATCAAAATGGCCGACAGAATGGCGGCGGCTGCTGGCGTGCCTCACCCTTGACGTCCAGCGTGAGCTCGGCGGTGACCCCCGGCTTGTCGGCGTAGATGACCTGGCAAACGTAGCGGCCCGAGTCCGACTCCCGCGTGTTGTTCACGTACAGAGACACGTCCGTGGACGGCATCTTGGACAGGAAGCCCACGCGGCCCTGAAACTGGGGGCTGCTCACCGTCACGCCTCTGTTATAGGTCAGGATCTGGGGAGGAAAAGGAAAGTGGAAAATGACGATCGGCCATTTTGAAAAATATAATGGCTGAGAGGGACATAAAGCACTAGTCTGCCTCTCTAGCTAATCCTGAAACCAGCTATAATTGGGGGGGTGCGGTAGGGCAAATGAAGAACAAACCAGATGTTTCTCTTCTCCCAAACAGATTCAGTTTAAATGGCTCCTCTAAAATGGCTTCTTAAAGGGACACTGCGTGTATTTCATTAGCTAAATTAGCATACATTTTTTTATAAAAGTGTCCTCATTTGGTGTAAAATGACCTCTACAATGATCTGACTTCTCAAATCTCCTTTCAGGAAGCGTAAGTCCACAGAGGTTTCCAGGGTGATCGGCCATTTTGAAAAACTATAATGGCAGAGAGGGACATAAAGCACTAGTCTGCCTCTCTGGCTAATCCTGAAACCAGCTATAATAACCAGCTGATGGAGGCAAATATCTATCCAACGTCCTGATTCAGTTTAAATGGCTCCCTTAAAATGGCTTCTTAAAAAGGGACACTGTGTACTATTTGAAGTATTTTATTAGCTAAAATCATAAATTAGTTTATAAATGTGTCCTCATTTGGTGTAAAATGACCTCTACAATGATCTGACTTCATGTGTGAAGAATTTCCTCTCTGTACGTACACAGGAAGGGTAAATCCACAGAGGTTTCCATGGCGATCGGCCATTTTGAAAAACTACAATG